TCGCCCAGTATGTTCTTCTCTGTTATTTTGTTGATATTGAGATTCTATCAAACTACACAAGGCATTAACATAAAGGAAAATAGTTTTATTATAGCGTTGTATAAAGGATTCTATTGCCATGTCCACCACTTCTGCGTCATTCTTTTTACATCATGTCCCCCCCTCCCTTCCCACCAGAATAGTTTCCCACTGTGAGGTGCATGTGTGAACAACCAGATCAGGAGGACTTTCCCTGAATTCATCCTGAAATCCAGAATCTAGACATTTTTCAAGAGTGTACACGTGAAAATGGCTTTAGAGACTCATTCTATTGTGTTATCTCTGCAGCCGACACACCCAGAACCCCAGTTTCCCTCCTATACGGTCGCACTCTCCCTCCCTCCATCACTCTCTCTCCCTCTCTCACACACACACACACACACACACACACACAAACAGGTCATAAGTCAAACAGGGTTTGAATAGCAGGAAGGGAGTGGGATTGTTAATACTGGACTTCACTGTAATATATGGTGTGAACTGCTCTCTGTGCCATTGGGCTTTATCTTCACAATCTGTCTTTCAAGCACACACACACACACACACACACACACACACACACACACACACACACACACACACACACACACACACACACACACACACACACACACACCATTTATGCCAACATCTTATCTTCTCATCAGCAGACCTGGGTAGCTCTGTTACCTTCCTTCCCGATTACGGAGGGACTTAAAGTGTGTGCAAATGTGTGTGTGCTTTGTGTGTGTTTGTTCAATGCAGCAATCTGTTTTTTGACTGTTTTACAAATACATTCCTTCATAATTAGAGGAAATAAGAGAAACAACAGATGAAAGAGATTTAATAACATCCCATCAATCAATGCTTCAGTGCGTCCCCCAAGAGGCAAACATTTAATAGAAGCACTTTTTGCGTTGCCTGCACATCTTTTTGGGTCTGACACAATATTTGATTAACACAAAATAACACAAACAAGCTGATTAAGCAGGGCCGCGGTAGCTCATCAACTCCCACGTCCTATGTTGTCTATAAAGTCTGGCGGCTTTAAAGAGTGCAATATAATCTCTAACTCTGTAATGTTGTCGGGCACTGAGAATTACAATCTGAGCCCGTTACTCGCTGTACCGATCAGAGGATTACGTTTCAGCCATTTTTTATTATTTCTTATTTCACTCTTTTTCACAGTCCAACTTTATTTCACAACCAGTGGATTCCACCATCTGATGGCCCTCACACTCCTGCATTGGCTGTACTTTTGAAATCAATAAGCGACGTCCACTTCTCTCGTACAGTCAAAGTCCCTCCCGATCAGACGGATCTGACTGAACCTTTTGACCATGTTTGACTTGATGGTGAGATTACTCATCCAAAGACTGGACAAATAGTCTGACTTTCTGTGTGTTTTATGGCACTAACTGGCTTTCAAAGAAATCTGGGCTCAAGCTTTTCATGTCGAGTGAACTTCCAGTATTCTCGTTTATAATTTATATTTTTGCTCTAGGTATACTGCATACCACCTGACGTGGCTTAGCTTTTCTGTACGCCCTCACCAAGGGGTGTAAAAAGGGATGTCCTTAATGATTTTGTTAGTTCCTTCAGCTGAGGGGCTCACTGCTTTTGGATTCTGTAAAGATGAATAAAGCTTTTATGAGCTCAACTTTTGGTCTCCAGGTCCGGTCTCTGAAGAACTTTAAGACGCCAATTAGAACTTGAAGAAAACAGCTAGTCTTAGAGAATTAGATGTTGTGGCCTTTTGTTTGGTCTGGATTCGGGCTAAAACTGGCCCTGCCTGTTTTTGGATTCAAACAAAAGGAGACACGACAACATACATGCAGCCCTGTGATCGCCTAATGACTGCGGGGATCGGCTCCAGCCCCCCCTCAAACCTGAACGGGAAAAACAGTTAAGATAATAGATGGATGGTTATATTATAACAAGAAATAACTATTGTAGCGAGCGAGCAGCTTAAGCACCCCTAAAAAGGGACTAAAATCACCTATACCAATTAGATGTTGGAAGTTGCTGCCTAACCCAGAGTCTACTATCAGACACAATTCTTTGTTATGGTCGGAAGAATCATCTGCAGGCTTTTGCAGCTGTTGATTACACCACTTAGAAATTAAAAAGGCTGAGCGACCCCAGACTAGGATCTTTTTAAAAATATTTTTTGGGGCTTTTTGTGCCTTTATTGTAGATATAGGACAGTGGATAGAGAGGGGAATGACATGCGGGAAAGGAGCCACAGGTCGGAGTTGAACATGGGCCGCCCGCTAGGAGGAACACATGCAGCCTCCATGGTGCGCACCCCGGACTAGCATCTTTGAGTTGGTCTGTTAGGCCAACATTTAAGTTTTACTTTATTGATAGCAATTTCTGTTTTTACACTCTGTAAATCATGCAACACACATAGGCTGAAATATACACACACATGCACAAACAAGATCCTATGGACATGTACTAATGGAGAGATGTCAGAGTGATGGAGCAGCCCACAGCAGGTGCTCCTGGGGAGGGGGTTTGGTGCCTTGCTCAGGGGAACCTCTGCAGTGCTCAGGCAGCTCTACAGCTACCAGACCAACTTCCATATTTGGTCCACACCAGGACTTGAACCAGCAACCCTTTGGTTCCCAACGCAAGTCCCTACAGACTGAGCTACTGCCACCCCAATTTAGTATAACTGATCTCACTGATCATACAGTTACATGTTGGATGTTAGCCACTTTTACTAAAGCTGCAGTGTCATGTGTGTGGATTCTTATAAAGGATCGCACACTCCATTTACCACTGAACTATAAAAACAACTGATGTTTAGAGCTCTTCCTGGATCTGATTTAAGTACAACTAACATTTTTATTTTCAGCATAAATAACTTTGGAAATAATCGTCTTTCCACTTATATTCCAAGTAACATAATTGTGTGTGAGTGTGTTCAATAACACTTAAAACTTAAGCTTAGTTTATTTTGATGTCTGACTTTGCCGGTGACACACAAAAACCGCAGACAAGGAAAAATACACAGACTCATACACACACATTGGCTTGGTTGACATGAGAGGTGATGGTGGTTCAACAACTAACATTCTACATCTGGAGTGGATTATCAAGTATATCAACCTTTGGAGCACTGTGTCCTCTGTGCGCGCGCGCACGCACACACACACACACTACACATTCTTACCTCCCTCCACACTTCTGCAGTATAGGAGTAAGAATGAAAACACCCACAGATGCTCACATGTGATGCCTTAGTGTGCTGTACAGTGCTGTCTCTGAGAGTGTGTGTTTCAGTACATGTGTGTGAGTATGTGTGTACATGTGTGTACATGTGTGTACATGTGTGTCTATGATTAAGCACCAGTATGGCAGAGAAGCAGAGACAGATTGTAGAACAAGAAAGGAGGAGCCTTTACTTTTCTTTCTTTTCTACTCTTCAGAAGAGTAAGGTAACATATGATGTTGCGGTCCGTGTACAAAGTATAATTCATTTGCAGTAGTTCATGTTGTATAATGAAACATGCCAGTTTAAGGGGTATTGCCTAATTTCCTTGTCCGACTTGGCGAATGCGAATATATGTTAATATACTCAGCCTAACGTTGTTAACGATTTGACTGTATTATTGTTGCTTTGTACAAGGACTTGCAAAGCTATTCAGCGCAACTTGTTGCATTAGCCAACTTACACAAATGAAAATTGAACCAAGGAAGTCAACAACCAGAAACATACACAGCTCCCCTTCAAAATAAAAGCTGTGCGTTTTGAATTGCTTATGTTTCCATAAAGGACAAACTTTTTTTCTTTAAGCATACTGTGTATTCTCAGGTTTTTTACATTTTTAGCAGAGAGTTTGCAGGTGAGGTGAGGTATTTGTGGTTTAAAGTAGGTTTACATTTTTTAATACATGGGGGAAGTTTTAACGTTGTTGGCGAAAAATATTCCCTGAAGTTAACAGTTTTAACAGCATTGAAATACATCGCTCTGCTGCATTATTTGATCTTGTTTAATCTGAACTTCGTCTACTAAGTGGAAATGACTTGTTGAAACAGTTTTTTCTCAAATGCACCACAGCCTGACAAATGTTGTGTACTGTAGCCAACCGACACTCGGGCTGTAGCTCTGGTCAGTGGCTACTGCCATCAGGCCTAATGCTGCACAATGACCCAAAAGTAAACAACAGGACAGTGGAAGAATGGCATCCCGTAGCTCGGCGCAACTTGGCAGCATCTATAAAATGGACATTAAGTTATATGTCGCCTGTGTTCGATTAAACTGGCATATCGACCAGAGCAAGTGGAACATTAAGCACAGGCATGTGGATGTTAACCTGCAGGGGGGACTGAAGTCTGGTGTTGTTAGCAATGCTAATGTTAGCTACGCTCGTCAAACCTGTTTGACACCATTTACAGACGGCCAAATTCAACCCACAATGCACTGCTTTATGGTTCACTTTCCTTTTTGGGTCCAGAAAAAGGGTTCTCACCTACAGCGAGCCGAGCTCTGCTGCACTTGGAAGCGAACCGAGAGCCCCGTTTTTAAGCGGACAACAGTTACTTTGGTCCGGCCCAGAATTTGTTAGAGCATTCACACCATCACAAACCAAACTAACTATCCGTCAAAGCGCACAAGACTTTGTTTCAAACGGACCAAATGTCTCAGGTGTGAATGCATCCTGAGAGTGCAGACTGATGTTCCCATAAAACACGCATTAACAACACTTATATGACAACAATAAAGCATCTTTCTAAGTGGAAATAAAAAAACTGCAAATGAGGTCAGAGTGGTGATGATATATATCCAAGCTGCATTTGCATTGTGTAGTGTTCCCTATGAGAAAACAATACATCTGTGCAGCGTAGTGCAAAGTGTGTTGCTGAGGTGGATAAAGAGCAGAAAACCTAGAAACCTAGTTAACAGTATAAAACATTCAGTATACTTTATTTTACACATATACTTTACATGATACAAAAATATTGATCACAGTGTATTTTCATGGAAAAGGATTGAAACTGCAATAAACAGAGCTTGAACAATAACATTTAATAAATTATATAATCAATATTTGACATAAGAATAATAAGACATAATTAATACAAAACCCCCCGAATATTTTAAAACACATATTTTAGACAATATTTATAACAAGTGTCTACTCTCTTTTAGTTTGTACTTCCATTTCCGGGCTCCGGTAAGCCGCTCTCCCATTAAAATGTCTTCATAGCCGCTTCAGTGCATATCCCACCTTCAAATTTTCAGAGTTCCCAAATCTGCTGTCCAATCATCGATTTCTCCCCATGTTCACCAGGGTCCGCTCGTTTAGCTGCCTCACAGCTGGTTTGGATAGCAGGTCTACAGGGGCTGGGTGATCAGGTCTACTTGTTCAGTTTTTTTTAATCTGCACGTTTGCATCTTTTAGTCCAGCCGCCTCCAGTGGGACGGTACGCAGCGACACACTTCCTCACTGAAGGAGAAACCTGGCTCACACCGTCGCCTCCTTACTTCACAGGGAGGCCGGAGACAACTGTGACGAAAGAGAAAATCAGGATTAAGCTTAATTTAAAAAAATAAATAAAAACATGTCTAGAGCAGGCCTTGTTCGGCTGTTGAAAATTGGAAACTTGATTGTTTGATACTAGTATTTGGTCTATTTAACAAGACTGTATATAAAATGGACGTAATCTCAGGCCCAGAGACCTTTAGTAGCAGTTCGTTTACACGACAACAGTGGATTGGGTGCCTGGAAAGGCTAAGGTTTCCAGAATCCAAACTTTTGAAAACGGCATCGTCTCCATCATTGTGTAAACTGACAATATTTTTGCAGTTTTGGGTCGCTTGGAGTAGCAACCCCACCTCATAGTCCATCCACACAAACGCTTGTGTGTTAGCCATTTTTGTATGTCAACACCTCACTGCTTAGTATGTGCGCAGGGGCGTGTTGTTTCATTACAAAGTCATACCGCCAGCTACTGATCTGGCATGTATAGGCTACTATAGGGTTTTTAATAATTTTTTGTGGGTCCTTGTTCATGGTTGATGTTATGAAAACCTTGTCATCTGAATGCATTACTTTTATGAAAACGGAAACAAAGAACTTGTTGAGCAAGAGTGCAGTACTGGTGCCGTTCAGAGAAGACAATGAAAGCAGAGGAGGAGTCTGGACATCTTTTAGCTTAAATAGCTAATTGGAAGTAGGAGTTGACAGGTGATTGTGGATAATGACGCTTATCAAGTGTAATATCAATACAGCCCGAGTTGACAGCCTGAACTAGCTCGCAGGCATGGCCTCATTCATGAATAACTCCTAGCCTTAATAAATTCAAAATGGATGACCTATAACAAAAGTAGAAGGACCCCCTACAGTTTATACAAATAAAGAAATTAGCTCGATATCAAATGGTCGCTTTAAGAATATAGCCATGACTGTTGGATGTGGTCTTCTGTTTCCAGGGAGCAGGTTCTCAGTACTGCCAAACACTGCTGCAAATGATTGAGAACCACTAACTGCTTTCTTGTGTGTTCTTAAGGTCAAAGGTTTCTACCAAGGTTTTGGTTTCTTCGCAGTAAAAACTACAACCTTCAGAACAACTGTGATTTACCGCCAACTCCTGAACCACCTCTCCTCCCACCAGAACAGAACGTCAAAGTTAAGGATCCATAATACAGTTTGACTTGTATGTTGTTCTTTGGACTCATGAGGAAGGATTTTCGTCCCTCAGAAGAATACAATTTAGTTTGGACTTTGTAACTTTGGATATGAAAATTGGTGTTTTAGCCAGTATTGGCAACAAAATAAGAAACTTGAATGCCACAAACGTTAGTATTGACTTTCAAACCTCTTATCTGTTAAACCCTAGCCCAGAGTAAATGCCTGATTATTTAACCTTCATATCCACAGTATTCCAAAGAACTCAAAGCATTGAAGGGGTTGGTTCTTTATTACGTAGCACTTACGCACTTCATCAACATCACAAAGATTCTGGGACTGCCGTGTAATTGCCTCAGCTTTTCTGGCTTCACGGGGTGTCAATTGGTGGATGACAGAATATTTCGTCATGGCTACTTAAAGTGACCCATGAACCCATGATGAAATACACAGAAGAGTTCAAAGAGACACACACACTCTCTTTTAAACACACCAGTGCCAGAACCCAGGCACTAGATTCCTACTGCTACATTACACTCATAAATCACTCTCAAACAGGGTCACAAAGGGTCAACACTGGACGGGGTGGATGGATGTGTGTGTATGTGTGTGTGCTTCCTCCCTCGTCGGGAGAGGAAATGGTTAAGTGACAGCTAGGAGAAGTCATTAGCACATGGAGGTCTTGTATTACAAACCAGGTTCACTGCAATAACCAGCTACCACTGCCACACCAGTGCTTTCCCCTTGCTAAACACACCCACCAACATCACCAGTGTGTCAATGTGCGTGTTAGAGTGGGGTTGACTTCTCTAGGATGATGCAACCAAAAAGCCCTGAACCTTAGCCACAAGATATCATTCATGCCAGTTAGTGAGTAATTAAACTAACTGGTCAGCAAAACCTAAAACACACAACACAGGAAATCAAAGGAATACACTGATGATGACTAAAAAAGTAATCCTATGTCAAAGTCACCTTGTAGAAGAAAAGTTGATTTCCTGATTATATTTCTGTCAGCAATCAGGATAAGGCAGTATGTCCTCTAGATACCACAAACATAGTCATGAATTGGGTCTGTGAATTACATTTAATTGAGTATTTATGTGATGATCAATAAAAATATAGTTCTAATTACAGCGATAAAAGACCCTGACTCTTGGTGATAACCAACAGCATCTGATGTCTAGTTAGAAAATAAATGGAAAAACAAATGGCTTATGGGATGGATAGATGACTAGGTGGATGGACCAATTGAAGAAATAGAAATTGGTTGAATGTACAGACAGATGGATGGATGGATGGATGGATGGATGTATAGGTGGACCAATTGAAGAAAAGGGATTGGATAGGCAAATAGTTGGATGAAAAAGGACGGATGGACGGATGAAGATAAATATGACAAAACATTATGGAATACAAAAATGGAAAAATTATGGATTTATTGACTGTAGATATAAATTGTCGTGCTAATGGGTAAAAATAGTTGGATTGTTAGATGGCCAGATGTATCACAGAATGGATATACTGTACAAAGAGCTGGATGGATGATTAGATAAACAAACAAACAAATTAGTTTTGGCAGATTGATGGATGAAATAGATGGATGAGTGGAGTAAGATGCCAGATGTATAACTGAATGGACATACACAAATAGAATGATGGGTGGTTAAATGGGTTGGATAGGTAGAAAAGCAAAGGGTTGGTTGATGTTTTTTGTTTTGTTTTTGGTGCTGTACATTCTTAAAGCAGCCAAACACCCCTCCTTTGTTTCAACAAATACTTGGCACTGTCTCATGAAATCATCTGAAAATGTTTCTGTCCTCTGCAGGAATTTCCCGTCTCTAACAACTAAAGACTTTCTCCAAGAGATGAGAAACAACAGCAGAAAAAACAAGGGGAGGTTTCGTAATTTGGACGAGAGAGGGTAAGTTTTTGGCAAATGGCGGCTCATGATTGCACTAATGTAAACTTGTTTACTGTTTATATCTACTGTATTTTTATGGGTTTGAATAACATAATTAGGCCTATCGTTTTAATTCTCATTTTTTATACCAATGTTGGCAGTTGTTCAGTGACAGGACTTACCTGCATGTGGCTGGATGAAACCTTCGTCCTTTTAGGAAACACTTGTTGGGTGACTCGTTACATTCGCAGGAACATTTTGCTTTATTGAGTGGCTGGTGCCTCGGACACGTCTTGATACACGCGCACTGACAGGTGTCCTTGTTGAACACGTGGTTCAGCGGGCAGGAAAGGGGCGGGGAGATGTTGCAAACACACTTGCAGGTGTTGCGGTCGAGGTGTCGGTGAGGGCCACAGTCTTGCGTTTGATCCCTGTGCTGACACACACACTGACAGGTTTCCACATCCAGCTCCTTATCAGGGCCGCATACATCTGCTGAGAAAATGTTTGTGGAGATGGAGAAACAAAGCTGGTGTCTTAAATGACTGGTCACAGAGAGTCACATTTTAGTATGTGTCTAAACTCTAAAAGTGGGACCATAGTTCGTCATATATAATGAGTAAATTCAAAGTTATTAAATAAAATATTCAAACAAAACTAAAAGAAATGTTGAAAAAGAACATGTAGCAGCTTGTGGAAATTTGATGATACAGATTGAAATGACTTATTGGCAACACAGTTTGTGAAGTCTTGATTTAAAAAACAATACAATAAAATTGAATAAAGGGTCACATAGTGCTGATGCACTGTGGGTTTTCTGAAAATACTGTTCTTGATTCAGTGTGACATTCGCTGGCAGAGGTACGTTTTCTGTAACACACACACCCATAGAGACACACAGACAGACATGCACCAAAACAAACAAACAAAAAAAACAGTAATAACTGGACTGGACATTTTATGTTCCCTTTGGAAATGTTGAATAAAAGCCATGTTGGAAGAAAAAAAATAAGAATTTAAACGTTGTCATTGTTTTTCTAGGGCTCTTGCTCAAAGCTACTGGTGGGAAGTAAAATTTAGAACGTTTTTGAGTTTTGCCACGTATCCATTTTGAATATAATACAAATCCTGCAACCGCAAGCATTTCTGACACAACCATAAGATGGCAGCAGTCATCACCTATGAGTCGCTGGATTGGTGTTTACATGCAAGCACTTGTTTGTTTTCTAACTTATTATTGGCTAACCCAGTCCATGAGGCCATGACCACCAGGCCTGGTTACCTTCCTATGTAAGCCTATCAGCTTGGACTGAACCCTGATGCCTTTGCCTGTGGGTGGGGGGGTCCACTACAGCTCCATGACGTTCTTTCAGACTGACCCCAACTGGGCCCCAAGACAGCTGGACCGCCATTATTCAGGCCACTTATATAATACAGTTTTGTGATTTTTTTTTTTTTTTTTTTTTTTTATGAAACACACAAATTTCCTCAACCAGACTTGTGTTTCTTGGTTTGTTTTCCAAACCAAAGCCTGCACTATAAAACATGTCCTTCTATCTCGCAAGTGTGTGTCTGTGTGCGTCAGTATCTGTGGAATCTGCTACTCTGGGGTCTCCGCATTCTTCTGTGACTCATTTGTTTACACTCCGTTATCACACACACACACACACACACACACACACACACACACACACACACACACACACACACACACACACATACACACACACACACACACTGAGGGACTTACAAACACACTCACTCACACACACACTTTCGTGATTCGGACTCTCTCACCAAACGCATTTCAGCCATAAATACTCCTCATTGAATACAAGAACATTCTCCTGTCAAAAAGACTAACACAGAGGAAGATGGCTTTACCAACAGTGTGTGCGTGTGTGTGTTAGTTTTAGTGTTGTCATGTTTGTGTGTGTGCTTACTACACTCTTAAAGGACACAATAACAGGCGTGTTTGTTTTCAGGTCGGCCGAGAAATCGCTTCACTGTTTGCCTACAGAAGTGTCCAAACTGAGCTCCAAAAACTTGATTGAATGCAGAAACTATTTTTTATGATTTAATAATTTATTTCCATGTATTGATGGATGACACCTGTTGATCATGAAGGGTGTATTTTAGCAGGCACGTACAGATGGGGGAGCTTAGAGTGCTCGAGCACCTGCCCGTTTGCCCCTGACATCCAAGGTGCCCCTTGTTCAGGCTTTTTTTTTTTTTGAAGGGGGCAGGTATGAATGCCTGATCACTACCTCTATCAAGAAAAACAAAATAACAAAAAAAGTAATTTGGCCATAGAGCTGGCAGCAGATCGTTTACAGCACATGATAACCTTTCACCCGAGGTCACATGTGAAGTGATGGCTGGATGCAGCTGCGAGTGCGACAGATAGGTCTCACAAAAATAAAATGAGTCCTTCAGTAAAATGGGAGGGGATCGAGATGTCGTGTCACAGAAATGGTCGGCAAGGCAAAATACATTTTCTAGAAAAATCTAGAAACTCACCATGAATTAAAAAATGGTCTCTGCTTGTGAGACTATGCAAAAAAAGAAGGCACTTACCGAGGTGCTGCTGTGAGGGCCTTGGAGGGGGCAGTGGTGGGGGAGGCGGGTTGTGGTGGTGTAGGTTTGTGCCTGTTATGCTGACACATCGACACTGCCCGCTGCTCCACGTCTGACCAGGAGAGCACGTCCTGTTGGCGATCGGACACCTTCAATGGAAAGAGACATTTCTTTGTCAGGCACTTACAGTATCTCATGGTAAGTTTTTGTTTAGTCATTAAAGAATCCCTTATCATATGTTCAATATGATAAGTTATTGTCATATCATTCATTAAATTACAGTAGAGCTCTCAACATTAACGTGTTAATTGTGCGATTAGGATCTAAAATAATCATATTCATTTCTTTTAATTACAGTAGTCCCAGGCTGCGTTGTCCCTTTCAGCATGCCTCAATTAAAGCCACTGTACATCTTCCTATTGGGCGGCAGTAGCTCACTCTGTAGGGACTTGGGTTAGGAACCAGAGGGGTGCCAGTTCAAGTCCCAGTGTGGACCAAATATGGAACTTGGTCTGGTGGCTGGAGAGGTGCCAGATCACTGCCAAGGTGCCCCTGAACAAGCCACCAAAACCCCTACCCAGCTCAGGAACACCCACTGTGGGCAGCTCCATCACTCTGACATCATTAGTGCATGTCCATAGGATCCTGTTTGTGCATATGCATATTTCAGCCTTTATGTGTGTTGCATGATTAACAGAGTGTAAAAACAGAATGTATACTTCTACTTTATTTAATTGATCCTTGAGGGGATCAATAAAGTAAAAATCTTAAATCTTAAACTTAAATCTTCCTTCAGCCGCAGTGATGGAAAATAACGACACTGCTGCTCCTTTGAATGACTCATATCTCTAAAAATTCACAGACTGCTCAGTCGACAAGTCAAAGGTAATATTCACCAATAACTTGTAATATCAAACAATTCACTTTTACTCCGTTTCCTTTACCTGTTTGAAATTTACTTTTTGATCTGTAGCGAGCTGCTTTTTTCTAGGTTCAGTTAATATCATAACTTTCAGTCTACAGGAGGTTCCTCATCTTTCAAAATGAAAGCAGGAAGTTAAGTACCCTTAGCTAAAGACAGTACAAAATACAAAATAAAAGCATGACAAAAATGGTTTTGAAATGCAAATAATGGAATTTCAAACATGTGATTTATCGAGATTTACTACTGGAATTAAGTAATTATTTATGTTTTAAACAATTATTTTTTTGTCAGCACTCATTACAGTTTATAGAAACAGGTTTGTAGTTTTTACTGGACAGGGCAGCTTAAACATGTGGTTGGAACGGGACTAAATGGGACATAAGGTAACAAATTCTAAATTTGACATATCACAAAAACATATAGCCTACTGCATCAACATCAATCAATTTTTTTGTTTGTCATGTAATCAAAACTTTCATTTTAAGGGTTAAAATCCCCAAAACATTTAAAGATTTGGTCGTTCTAATCAGGAATTAAGTTGATTAAAAGTGGGGAAAAATATTTATCAATAATATTTTTACTAGAGTTTTTTGATGTGGACATTTTTGTCCTCAATGGCTTATTATTAGGATTATTGTTTTATATTTACAGATCATCTATTGATTGACACCAGAGGGTTAAGACTGCCTTTCAGAGGATGTTAAGTTTTCTATTTAATGGGTGTGGTATTCAAGTCCGACATAATCCACAAATCCAGTTCAATGTCACCAGGAAGAAGCCGAGAACACAGTCTTCTCAATATCTCTTTTAACGAAGGCCAAAATAAAATGCCTCATTGGTTTCTTTCTCGACCTCCAAAGCGGCCTTGGGTAAGAAAATGGGATTTTAACATATTAAAGAAATGTGATTCCTCAAATATCTGTGCATGTGAATGTAACTCTCATTGTCCAAGCAAAGACTTTTCAGTGATTCTTGGACAGATAAACTGCTTGATCAAAGTGGGATTTCTTGGGTCAGCTTCAAACGGATGGTCAGGAGGGAGAGGGAGGAATCACAAGATTATCTTTAATGAGATGATTTCAAACAAAAAGAAGATAGCTCTGCGATTTCTTCTCACTGTGTTTGGATTCAGAAATGCTGACACACAGCAGCAGGTATTCTGATGCTGTGAAGTCTCCTTTTTAGAGAAGGTGACACGATGGTGTCACAGCTATCGAAGCAGCAGGTACAAACACAAGGTTGAACGGCCTCACACACTTTAGGAACACACACACAAAATATAAGTAAGGATGGTAAGACATATACCTCGTGTTTAATGCTGTTTGACAAACATTAGCATGCTTAAAAGATCAACTACAAATGAAAATCTGATAAACATTGTTGATGCTGTCAATCTGGTCAATAGAAAACATTTACATCTAAGACACTAAACTTACTGAGCCTCTGACTCAACTAACAGTGAGTAAATAAGACAGTAAGTATCCCAAGCCCCAATTTCCACATACTAGCCACAGTCCTTCAGCGCCACACTGCCGTATTTCACTACCCACTATAGTCAATCATTGTGTTTTCACAGCGGGCACAGCGGTCCATTTCCGGAGCGTGCCAGCAGCGTCACTACGCTCTGTTCCGTTTCAAATACTCTGAGAGTCTATTACGATGCAGTCAAGCCTTAAGCTCAGCCATCATGACGTCTTTATACATTCATGTTGATTCTGCGATAATATTGGTGTCACAGTCTGTGAGTTCACATTGCATTACAAGCACGGCACAGCGTGAGCTCCACATACACGAAGTCAAACAAGCACACACACACACACACACACACAGCGCTGCTCTCCTGCTGGGCTAGATGATTCAACTGGTTTATCAGAAGCTGAACCCAACGAAGTTTTGGCAAACAAACCTCTCCAATCATCAAACAGAGTCCTCTGGGGTCAACTTCAGAGGTGGAGGAGACGTTCTGATATCTCTCTGTTTGCTTTGGTCATACCACGTGACCTCCATATTTGTTTTCTCTGGTAAGTTTCTTCCTCTGCTCTTTCCCCGCTCTGCTTTATCATTATTTTTTATCCTTTCACTTATTTCAGTCCATCGTTTTCTTGTAGCAGCAACCATTTTTCTTGAATAAAAAACACAGTTTTGCCACAAAAGTTGTGGGCTGTCACACTGGTCTTGTAATCCTGTTGATTCAATAATAAATAGATTTTTTTCAGAGAAACCGTAAAACTTCAAATAAAAGCCCATTCCAGTTTGAGTCTCGTTTACTAGCCTGGTGTTACAGCAGGTCTCAGTTGGAGGCCTGTGTGTGCATTTAGTGTTAATCATTTTGTGGATCAGCTGTTGACCAGATGGATCAATGTATAGATGGACCAGATGTGCCATGTATAGAGGCTGTAGTCCTTCTGGTGGGCAGCCCGGGTTCAAGTCCGACCGGTGGCTCATTTCCTGCATGCCATTACCGGCTCTCTCCTGATTTCCTAATCTATCCACTGGCCTATCAAAAAGATGGCAAGAAGCCCAAAAATAAAGCTTTAGAAAAAATGATTAAAAACAGTTTGCAGATTAAAATTATATTAACAAGCATGTCTCTCTCTCTCGCCCCCAAAGTGCAGCAGGTTGGTATGAATGGGCTCTCTTAAAAAGTAATATCAAATCAGTGATATGTAGCCTAATTCTATTTTTTTTTACACATTTAAATATTCTTTCTGGTGTAGGTTTTCTGGTGAAAATCTTTGCTGTGAACCAGTTTTGATTAAAAATAATAAAATGCATGTCTTGTATTGACGCATGTCCCAAATAAGGACAGGGTCATTTTATTGATTTAAGTTAAAAAAAGCCTGTGCTTAAAGTTTTCGGTGTGGGGACTATTAAGAATACTCTTACAGTATGTAGCTAAAGCTGACGTACACTGTACATGGTATTAAAGTTGAGGTGGAATGTCAGTTCACACTGTACGACTGATTCACATTACAATGCAGGAGCAAAACTCATGATTTATGTGCGCACAGCCTGATTGTCGGATATAACCTGAGAGCTCACACTGTACGAGTGACATGGGGAGGGAGTTGTCTTATTAGCATGGCCAATGTGTTTGATCGTTTTAAAAAATGTGGTATCGAAAAGTACCAAAGTAAAAGTTGTGATATCTTATCTCCTCAGAGCTGGTAAACATCTAGTCCAAAAGTCTGCTGCTGAAGTGAAAAAGTTACATGTGCAACAAATAGGCCAAAAGACTTTCTAGTTAATAACCTCCTCAGTCATGAAATGTTGATGTTGTTGAATTTAATAAACGTAGAAATTATTCAATCAATAAATTTTGATTATGGACGTTAATGAAAACAAACTCCAGCCTGATTCTGAATTACTCCAGAAACCAGAGACCATGTTTGGATTTCCACAAACTGCCAAGACTAATAAACTGCCTCTAAAATACTACACACACACACACACACACACACACACACACACACACACACACACACACACACACACACACACACACACACACACACACACACACACAGGTACACACATATAAAACAGCACAATGTGAAAACCGGCTGTCTAAAAGGCAACATTTAGGGAAGCGCTGGCTCGGACACAGACGGCAGGCGAGTGTGTTTGCAGACAGACAAATTGTTTCAGGTTGTGAAAGAGCCAAAGTGTGTTTTCAATTATGGCTGCCGTGGCACAGACACACAAACAGACACACACAGTGACAGGGAGGCTCAGAGGAAAAAGAGGAAATTAAAAGAAGAAGATGGAGTGAGGACAAGACAGAGAGAGAGATTATTTGTGTAAAAGCCGGTGTGTTTCTCTCCTTTGAATTAATGTGAAACATGTGTGAGCTAAGTGTGTGTGTGTGTGATTCTTTAACTTGCCAAATGATTAGTAGGTGTGCAAATCTCTACAATGCGTTTCATTTTCCAGCCATAATGCAACATGTTGACATCACTGCTCCGTGTCTGTGTGTTTACTTTCAAGTGTGTGTTGCTAAATACCAGCAGACATTAACATTCCTTTAACGTCACAAGACACACGCACGCATGCACGCACACACAATCCACTGATCTAAATGCTGTGGAGGGTGTACGTGTGTGTCACTAAATTACTCATGCAAAGAAACTTTTAACACAAAATATTTTGAGAAAGACTCAGTGGTTGAGTCAAACTTCACACGCTCTTTCGCTAATCCCTAAACATTTCGGACACTACTCCGGCTGCCGATAATGACCTCATTACTGTCCCACAACTAAAACGTGCAGATTGACACCTATACTTTTCACAATGCATTGTGGGATACAATAAGTCCACTATATAGGGTATGATCATGCTCACTTCAGACACCACTGCAAACTGGTGTATTCACTATATAGGGCTCTAGCTATATAGTTAGTGGAGTGTGATTATGGACACAGCCAGAGGTTGCTATGGTGAGGTCATAAATCACAGCACCTCATGAAGGCATGCACTCAGAAACAAACACATTTAAAAGCTCTGCAGAGTTAATCGAGGGATCATCTGAAGTGTTTCCTCAAGTAACACCCCTGAACACACACCCAGCACAGGAAGCAACCACTGCAACAATACAGTCAAACACAAATGTGTGTGCGTGTGCGTGTGCGTGTGCGTGTGTGTGTGTGTGTGTGTGTGTGTGTGTGTGTGCCTCTGTGTGTGCCTCTGTGTGTGTGTGTGTGTGTGTGTGTGTGTGTGTGCCTCTGTGTGTGCCTCTGTGTGTGCCTCTGTGTGTGTGTGTGTGTGTGTGTGTGTGTGTGTGCCTCTGTGTGTGCCACTGTGTGTGTGTGTGTGTGTGTGTGTGTGTGCCTCTGTGTGTGCCACTGTGTGTGTGTGTGTGTGTGTGTGTGTGTGTGTGTGTGTGTGTGTGTGTGTCTTACTCAGGCAGGGCTCTCCTGATGATGCTGTGGACCTGTTTGTAGACGTCCAGTTTGGACAGACAGCTGCACTGGGTGTGGTTTGCCACGCTGATGGTCACTGGTTTGGTGCCCTGGGTGATCGGTACTGTGATCTCAAACAGCTGCAGAGAGAACGAAACAGAGAAGACAAAATGTCAGAAGCTGCGTTTCTGTTGTGTTGCACCAATTTAATTATGGCAAGCAAGGACACCTGACTGCTGATTCAAAGTTTTTGTTATTGGGCAGAAGAGGCACCTTTTGGAAAAACTCTGATCTGACACGTACGCATGATGGCTGTCCCATGGCCCCTGATTCTGTTTGGCAGAGTGTAGGGGGCAGTGTAGACAGACGAGATGTTACAGAATCAAAACAGGAGCAGGGACAGCAATTGGCAGAAAGTTTTTAAGACAAGCTCATACGCCAAGTCCTCAACCCTCCACATCTGTATGATGTGTCATTGTCACTGCACAGAAACAAACATGTCGCAATAGCTGACAACAGATAGGTTCCATTTTAGAAGTCAACGTGGAAACCTGCAAATCTCGTTGTCAAAACTAAATGACAACGAGATCTGTGTTTTGGTTCAACGAGGACTATCTCAATAGTCCTCGTTAGTCTCCTTCATTGAAACCTCTTAAAAAAGGCTCTTCTCCCAGCACTGGAGAGCAGCCCTCCCCTGGCAGCCCTTCAGCGTTCTGCCCACTCAGAAGCTTCAAGAGAGCTGGCCAATCAGAAGAAAGTGGGCACGTGGGGACGGGGGCCTTAAAGAGACAGCAGCTGAAATGAAACATTTCCGGCAGAGGCTAAAATGAGGGTTTTTATAGACGGCATGTATAAGAAAAATAAGGAGTTTTTTTTAGCAAATCATGCAAAGCTGCTCTACAGGAAAGGTTTCACAGACTGACAACATGAAAGCTGAAAATTAGTCTAATATGGGATCCGTAACTCTTTTTTTCTTACCTCATATATTTTACAGTGTACATACATTTCAAAAAGTATCCATCAGTGTTGTAGTTCTCAAATCCATGACTCGGACTTGTGCCTTGATTTTGAGGACTCGTGACTCAACTTGGGCATGGAGCACTTATGACTCTGACTTGGACTCGAGCATTTACTGAATTTGGACTCAAAAGATGGAGAGGAGGACTCCGACTTGTTTTCTGATAAAGACTGTGTTGATGTTTTTGTTATGAGTAAAGGCATGCACATGTATTCACTTGACTACATCACTGGTATCCATGCTGTACGTCTGTGTGTCTGTTTCCTTGTATTTAAGTGCAGCGACTTCAAGTGTATTCTTTGTTTTTGCACACATGTATCCTAATTGAATATATTAAAGATCATTTTTTGGGAAAGTCCCGAAGTTTACTTCAACTTGTCTAAGCTTTAAATTCAGTCAATAAAGAAATACTCCATCACAAGAAGCTGCTATTTCACACACTCTGTTAACAAAGGCCCCGTCATCAAGGGCCCTCAGCTTGGACTTCAACCTGCAGCTTAAATCACTGGGAAATCAGCACATTTTACACTGAATGCTGAGAATGTGAAGGATCGAACAAAAAGAGGAATGACGAGCTCGGCTTTAGTTTTCACACGGCACTGATGAAGAGTCTTACACAAGACTGCTGTAGAGAAAAGACGAGAAACTCTGAGAGACACTTCATTCAATCACAGTTTAACAACATGAAGAGAAACTAATTAGTCTCAATGACTTCATTCAGACCCTTAAACGGTCTCTCCTCCTCTCATCCTAATGAGGACATCATTAAAGCTGACCTCAGTCGCTTTGACCTGCTGAGGGCTCACTATGGGAACACAACACTCACACAAACACACACAAACACTTACACACACGAATTAAGAGAGTGCTTTAAGATCACGGTGACCACCAGTGGGTTCAAAAGTTCCCCTGCACACATTTCTTAAGCGGGGAAAACACTAAAGGATTTTGGTCCCAGTTCCCCCTTCCTACAATCCTACACAGCCCTGATTTTTTGAAGGTTCTAAAGATGATCTAGTCAGATTTTCCCGTGGTGTGAGGTGTTTTAGGAGTGATCCAATCTGCTCATTGGAAGAACATCAGGGCCAGCTAATCAATTCCTACTCACCTCCAGACTATGTTCATGCCATCTGCATGACTTTGTCCATAGTTTTTTATTTTTTCTTCATTCATTTTTAGTATGAATTAATCCAAACACTTTTCTCCCTGCCTGTTGTCTGACAAGTTTTTTTTACTCTGAAGCTCTGTTTGATGGTGAGCGATTTAGTGAGATTTCCAGTTCTTAGAGTCAGGTCTCGGGTTGTTGGTTAATGAATCTGTTAGTGTGCGGTGTGCTGTTTAAGTCATATCATTGCTTTCCAGACAATTTAGGACCAAAACTGCTTAATCTATCTGTCGACGCATTATCAACATCTGTTGGCTCACTTGTCATTTACTTATTCTGCCTTTCCAAACTGACGCACCGCAGTGGTTTTATTGTCAAACATTATGCTTTAAAGTTTTATAAACTTTTTTTTACCAGCAGACTTCGATCCCATGCCTTTGTAAAAATGAGGAAAATCATGACTGTATTCATGAAGTGAACCAAATCTTGTGATGGTATCATATCGTTAAAATCCTACAATAGATTATTGACTTCATAAATGTCAGAAAGTTTGCGTCTTCCTGGTTATGACACAGTATAAAAGGATTTTTTAATGTAGAAAGAGCCAAACGCCTAAAGCAGGACAATTTTTAGATGAGATATGTAAGGTGTTGATTGCTCACTAAATTGCACGCTATACTATAGGATACATAGAAACGCCGGCACCTTCAGTTACTTTTTGTGACTGTAGCTTTTGACCAGGAGAAGATGTCCTCAGGTGGTGACCAACTTTTATCAGATGTGTCGAACCTGAACCACAACATCCTCCAGTTGGAGGGTCTGCAGTGGTGGCCAGTCACTGCCCATCTTCTCCTGGTTTCCAGCTCGTCTCCTCCAGCCTGAACCAAAGCCAGCAAGAGCATCTCTCTGCTGCTTCCCCCAACCTTTGAGCAGCCCTCCTATTCTCCCTTACTAATATTCCTAGGGATGTTAATGTGTTCCTCACAGACTACACAGAGAAACCCCTGCAGCCAACTTCCACTGGGAAAAGCCATGTCTGCCACCCTTTTTTTTTTCCTGCACCGTGGTCTTTGGTGGCTTTCCTCTCAGAGGCCTCCTCCCAGCCGTCTTCCCATTGAACCAGTTCGATCAGGTTGATCTACTTCCCCTCCTAAATTGCATGCAATTCTGCCTCAAAATCTTGTGCACAAATGGACATTTTATCCTGCTGATGGTGCAAAAGAAAGAGTTAGAGTGTCTTAAGGTCAAAAAGGTCAACACAGCTGGAGGGACAAACCAGCAGATGTTACCTGTAGTTGAGAAAAAATCCATTTGATTTAACATATGTGAGGTCTTACAAGAAACAACCATCACATGCAGAAACATAATGCATTAGGATAAAGAGTGAAAGCATAATGTTCAGAGACAGGCACGGTACCATCTGCAGAGTTTAAAAACCTCACGACAGCACAGGTGTCAAACTGACCGAGAGAACCAGCAGACAGATATAAACACTTAAAGAAACTTACAGTCTGTCCAACAGTAAATTATACAGTTTAGCACAACATCTGTTACCTGCTAAATTACCAAACCTCTCAACGCCTGCCAGCTGCTTCAAGACACTGCCAAAATAAATCAGCTCAGGGTGACGAAGCAAACCACAGAAAGCCGTCAGGAACAGAGCCACGTTTGACCTCTCACCTTTCCATACTTCCATTAGCAGACAAATTATTTCCAATCACTTTTAGAAAGCCATTAGAATTCAGTTGGGCTGTAAAGATTCTGTCTGCTGTGCTCTAATTTGAATGATTTACTGTGTAGTGAATGTAAATCTTCAAACACTGGCTGGTGGTCAGAGATCTCAGCCAAAAACAGCAGTTAGGAAAAACTATCAGAGGGAAAGAACGGCTTGTGAAACCTCAAAAAGACTGCAGCTCAGCACACTGTGTAACCAGACTGAAGCCTCACAGCTTCAACCTTGGCCTCTTTTCTTCCAACCTCAACTGAAGAGGACATGCTGCATGAAGATTCATGGTTCTGTAGTCCAAAAAACCAACCCCACACCACTGTCCCAGTTTCAAAACACACAATACCGCTGCATGTTTAGTCTCTTTTTTAACTGGCTTTTTGAACAACGTTTGTTTTTTCACTCAGTGTTATGTCCTCTCTGTGGAGGAAAAAACAACAGATATACAAAAACATGTTCAAACACCACCGTGTCAGTCAACAAACAACGTGACCATATCAAGCTGACCGATGCAAGGCGACAATATGTCCAAACCTCCACAGTGGAACACTTTGGTTTACCAAACACTCATGCACATGTGAATATTATCCACATATGCACACACTCTTGGTGTATTAATCAGGATTTGGGACACTATTTCAACACTTGGCACATTTAAGAATAGACTTTCAAGCACTGTCATAAATGAGGCGATGCTTTTGAACTAGTTCTGAAAATAAAATAGCATCCCATCACTCCTCAAATTTCTTCTTAAAGTTAATTTAGGGGAAGAATGCATGACTTTTTTGTTTTGATCCAGTAAATGTCACCCGCTCTCCTCCAGCGACACACCTCCAACCCCCATCTCCTCGCGTTCACACAAAGGAGTTATCAATTGCAATGCACCATCATCAAAAGCAAGCGGCAGACAAAATTGTCTTTTGCTTGAGCTGCAATTGCCTGTGTCCTGCATTGTTGTGTTAGCAGGGCAATGTTAGCACACTTTAGTTAGCTGTAGCTTCACATTGATTAAAGAGTGATGAGGTCGGAGCCTAAACGCCAGACACAAACTAAATTCTGCTGTAATTAATATTTTAAATGATACACAAAGCATTTGGTCATTCAAGAAGTAACGTCACTGAAGCTCCATTGAAGGCAGGTTGATAAATGGACGTAAACTAACAACACCTTTACAAGTAGCTTAGTGACTCTTATCAGAAAAAGATGAGATGTCATAGACTACTCGCACATGACTAACAGCATAGTGACTGCCTTAATTAAAATGTGTTTATTGATGCAGACATATAAGTAT